ATTGTTACAATTCAGTGTTGTTACTATGTCTCAAAGCATATGCAGAAATCTTGTTGTACTGATGTCTAAACACAAATGTTCAAAATCCAATATGCGTCAGAAGAATATTCACTCCATGTCACTACAGATAAGAACATAAGAACATAAGAGATGCCAATGTTGGATCAGGCCAAAGGCCCATCCAGTCCAACACTCTGTATCACACAGTGGCCATAAATACCAGTGCCATCAGGAGGTCCACCAGTGGGGCCAGGACATTAGAAGCCCTCCCACTGTTGACCCCCCCCCAAGCACCAAGATGACAGAGCATCACTTGCCCCAGAGCCCCTATCTATACCTTGTGGCTAATAGCCACTGATGGACCTCTGCTCCATATGCTTATCTAATTCCCTTTTGAAGCCGTCCATGCTTGTAGCCGCCACCACTTCCTGTGGCAGTGAATTCCAAGTGTTAATCACTCTTTGGGTGAAGAAGTACTTCCTTTTATCCGTTCTAACCCGACCGCTCAGCAATTTCATGGAGTGCCCACGGGTTCTTGTATTGTGAGAAAGGGAGAAAAGTACCTCTTTCTTTACCTGCTCTTTCCCATGCATAATCTTATAAACCTCGATCATGTCACCCCTCAGTCGTCTTTTCTCCAAGCTAAAGAGCCCTAAGCGCTTTAACCTTTCCTCATAGGGAAAGTGTTCCAACCCTTTTATCATTCGAGTTGCCCTTTTCTGCACTTTTTCCAAAGCTATAATATCCTTTTTAAGGTGTGGTGCCCAGAACTGCACACAGTATTCCAAATGAGGTCTCACCATTGATTTATATAGGGGCATTATGATATTGGCTGATCTGTTTTCAATACCCTTCCTAATAATCCCCAGCATAGCATTGGCCTTCTTTATTGCAGTCACACACTGTCTCGACATTTTCAGTGAGTTATCTACTACAACTCCAAGATCTCTCTCTTGATCTGTCTCTGCCAGTTCAGACCCCATCAATGTGTATTTATATTTAGGATTTTTGGCTCCAATGTGCATCACCTTGCACTTGGCCACATTGAACCCCATTTGCCATGTTGACGCCCACTCGCCCATCCTTGACAGATCCCTTTGGAGTGCCTCACAATCCTCACTGGTTTTCACCACCCTGAACAACTTCGTATCATCTGCAAATTTAGCCACTTCACTGCTTACTCCCAACTCCAAATCATTAATGAACAAGTTAAAAAGCAGTGGACCAAGTACTGATCCCTGCGGTACCCCACTGCTTACGTCCCTCCACTGAGAAAATTGCCCATTTATACTCACTCTCTGTTTTCTATTAATTAGCTAGTTTTTGATCCATAAAAGGACTTGTCCTTTTATCCCATGATTTTTGCGCTTACTTAGGAGCCTTTGATGGGGAACTTTATCAAAAGCTTTCTGGAAGTCAAGGTAAACAATATCTATTGGATCCCCCTTGTCCACATGTTTGTTCACCCCCTCAAAGAACATTAACAGGTTAGTGAGACAAGATCTTCCCTTACAGAACCCACGCTGAGTCTGCCTCAATAGGTTTTGTTCATCTATGTGCCTACTAATTCTTTCCTTAATAATGGTTTCCACCAATTTACCCGGTATCGACGTCAGACTGACTGGCCTATAATTTCCCGGATCTCCTCTGGAACCCTTTTTAAAGATGGGAGTGACATTTGCTACCTTCCAGTCCTTAGGAATGGAGGCTGATTTTAAGGAAACATTACATATTTTTGTCAGGAGATCCACAAGTTCACATTTGAGTTCTTTCAGAACTCTCGGATGTATGCCATCTGGATGTATACCAGGCTGGCTAGTGAATTCCCAGTACCTATTATCAACCAACCTGGTTCAAAGTTACCCTCAAGGAAGTGCTGCTTTTCCATACACCCTTCAGTTTGTAACTGTTTAAAGGTTTAATTTCCCATATACTAAGATACAATCCTAAGAAATGTTGGTAGTTTTAAAAAAGGAAGAAACTATCCAGTATCTATCTATCAGGGGCTAGGAGGCCAAATTTGGCCAGTGTAGGCAGGAGTAAGAAGTAATACAAACCTTTGGACATCCCCACGGCTAAGAAAGAGTATGGAAGTTCACAGACGGGTCAGGGTGTTTTGGGATGCCAAAGAACTTTCAAGTCATGGACTGCATCTTCTTTGTTTTACATGGTGAGTCAAAACTAAAGTTCAACTTGGCCACTTCTAAAAATGGCTGAATTAAATTAGGCCTGATCTAGAAAGTCCATTTTTATAACTTTGCACAGCATTGGCATCCATGTAGTAACAATGCTTCACCTACCTTTCCATATTCTTTATAGTGTCACTCAGGAAAAACATTCTGGAACAGACAACTCAAGCAGCATTCTAGCAGCTAGTTTATTGAAGATGGAGAAAAACTTTGGTGATAAGTTTTTCATATCCCTATTTGACTTCTCTAGCGAAACTGAAAATAAGTGCTTTATAGGAAAGATTCAGAATAGTACTATTTCTGCAGGTTCAGGATGGCAAACATCCCATCATATTCCTGGGTGAATAGCCAAAGCTGTTTGGCCTAAGCCAAAGATATTCAACTACTGAAAGCAAAGCAACAGCTATTAGACGGGTTATTGGCATCTCCTGCTATTGTTTTACATACAGCCCATTCTCTTTGATTATTTGTCTCTCAATGGATTCCATAAAATGAAATGTCAAAATTAGGTAATTATAAAATAGTGATAACCATGCAGGGATTCATCTTTGACAACTTCCAACTATCCCATGAATTGCATATGTGTGCTGATGATGCTTCCCCTGTATTTGTACCACCTACTGAGGCCAGAAGGATTTCAGACTTTGGAGATCTGTGACATACTATACTCCTGCTTCATAGAAGAGCAATGGCAAATACTACATGGCACATGGCTTTGACAGAGCTTTTGCTCAGTGTCCATTCTGCCCAGGTGGCAATTGGGTCTTCCTGAGAAACTCCAATCCCTCAACTCATGAACAACAGATAGTACTTTTAACTGTAAAAGAAGCTGTAATTCAACAAGCACAAGATCCTTGGCATGATTAAGAAGAACACAAGTTCAACCATCAGGAACTGGACCAGCCTTGTTGTACCCTCTCTAAGCAAAGGGTTACAAACATAAGAAAGAATTGGATGGCTCAGTGAAAATGCAGTGACTGCTCAGGCATTTTTGATCCCAGGTGAAAAATGATGCTGGGATTAAAAAGTGGAGAATGGTCAGAACATGTGGACCTATCTGTATTGCATGCCTAAGACTCAAGAGTTTGGAAGATCCAAGATGAGTGGTAACACCATGGAACTGTTCCTTATTCTCTGCTCCTTCTGCAGGGATCAGCATACACAAGAAATACGTGCTGCCTCTATTTGCCATGACCTGGATGATCCAGGCCAGTCCAATCTCATCAAATCTCAGAAGCTAAACTGGTTTGGGCCCTAGTTAGAAGAAATGACCAAGGGAGTCCAGGGTCACTATGCAGAGGAAGGCAATGGCAAGCCACCTCTGTTTGTCTTGAAAACTGTATGGGATCACCATAAGTTGGCTTTGACTTGACAGCATCACAGTGCAGTCACTTCTGGCAAATCTGGAAATGACAGCACCCTGTAGAGGCGATGCTCTAGCATCCACCCCAAACTCTAAGGTTTTAGGCAAACACCACAACATCACCCCGTGTCACTTCCAGATGGTGCCAGAAGTAATGGCACTGTGTCATCCATGATGTCACAACGTCAACTAGAGGGCCCCTTCCCATGGATAAGTCTCCCACCATTTGCCAGCCTTGAGCCGGCAACGCTAGAGCAACTCTAAGTGCATGACACAAGTACCATTCGTGCTTCTGTTTTTATAGATGGTTCTGGTCTACTCATCAAATACAGGGTGCTGCTCCAGTTGTAGCACAAACTTCTGTGGCACTACAGCTGGATCCTCAGTCTGTACAATTCTGTGTCTGAAGTATATCTATTTTTCTTAAGGTGTTCTGTTAAAGTACATGTTTCTAAAGAACAAAATGACTTATATTTTTCAGTGTTAAACGCTATCCAACACTTATTTTTTGCATATACTAGCCAAACCTATTTTCAAGCAGAAGCCCTTTGTATACTGCCCACAATGTCAGTGTCAATTCACATTGTTATTTTTAACATGGCACTATGACAGGGTTATTTTTTCCTTTTGGTCATGGTTCATCGTTCATGGTTCCATGGTCCTGGAAAGCTCTGGATTGAGCCATGGTCTAAACAATGAGTTTCAAAATATTTTGTGAGTTTTTCAAGTAATGAAAATCATAATATAGACAAAATTCCTACTGAAAGAAGCTCTTAACTTGTGGAGAGTCAGAATGGCATCACTATAGTAGCACAAATCAACTGACATATGAGGAACTGGTCCCAGAACAAGACAGCCAGCAGTGCTTCCTTGTGGCCACAGTCATAAGTGAGAAGATGTTCAGAAAATAATACTGTGATGTGAAATCAAGATAGACAAATCAGTACTGAGTGCAAGTCACTCTGTACACTAGCCATATACTTAATACAAGCATTATCTACACACCAGAACTTCAGAGTCTCAATTCTAATGTAAAGGAAAATCAAGCCCCCTCCATAAACTGTCAGTGCAGGCAGTATCTCCCAGAATAAAATATCCTCACCACTATACTGCAGATACAGCACAAGTAAGTTAAAAAAAATCTTTATAGCATCCCATTTCCTCCCCCTTATTCCCTATATATCTGAGGCCTTTCCCCATCAGCCCTCAGAAAGCAAAAACCAATTGTGCAGCGCTTCAGTGACCACAAATAAGAAGCACAAAGCCTTAAGGGCAAAAACGGAAGGAAAATCCCACACCTTTAACCTTCACAAATGCAAGTCACACACTGCCTCAACTAAATGCAAGCTCATTCACCATCTCAGCATAATCATTACATGCAATAACCCCCCATTTTAAAAAAGAGCAACAAGACATGAGGTTAGTATAATAACAATCAAGCTATTTACCAGGATCAAAGTCAGGGATGCGAGCTTGATAGTCTGCTCCGACCCTCATTCCTACATCTGCAATGGAAGAAAAAAGAAATGCATCTCTTAGAGGGGCGGTGGGGAGAAGACGCCTCGCTCTTCAGTGATGGAAGTGTGATCTTTAGACAATATATCTGTGTAGATTCAGTGATCTAGGTCGGATCATCACAGTAAATCCAACAAAAGACCATCAATGTAAACTGCATGCAAAACTGGCTATTGTCATAGACTCAAAGCATCACCCCTTGGAACAAGTGTGAAGAGAAAGAGAGAAAAGATGACCCCCCTCCCACCCCACACACACCGGAAAAAGAAAAACCTACTTCCTCTTCACAGATTTAGGTAGGCAATAATTTCCGAAGAGTGACAATTATTTAAAAGAAAATTTAAAAGGGGAGGGATCCACGCGGCTCTACAAAAACATTTGCTTTATTGTGGTGATGTTGCACTGTGTTGCATGGGTGAACTCAGGAGCGCGCCTCTAACACAGAGACAGACATAAAATAGTCAAGATTCACAGCGCTGCACATAGGTAGACCTGCACGCACAGCTGTTTGTGGCAGTCCCTGCAGATGCACACAACGTAAAAATTTTCAAGAGTTTCCTGTACGTAGTCTACACACAACCTAGAACGCAATGCCTGGGTTGCAGGTTTATGACACATGTGCCCATTGTGAAAACGCACACCCTCTTCCCTCGGGACAAACGGACGGACGGACGGTCAGCCATGCACCCCGCCGCTCTCGCGCACGCGCCCTCTCACACTCACATACATACACAGAGAGGCACACATATACACGTTCACACTTCCCGCTCCCTCCCTCCTCCTCGTCTGTCTCGCGCGCTCCCTCACGCCACACTTTTTGCACGCGCGCCCCGTGCAGTCGCAGCCAGCCAGTGCGCAGTGGCGAGGCTAGGCCCAACGCGACCCTGTCGGCAAGACGAGAGAAAGCTCGCACCGTGCTCGTCACCACTGTCGCCGCCGCCGCCGCCACCACCGCCGCCGCTGCTCTCCGCCTCGGAAAAATGCCCGTTGGAACCGGGGCTGCCGCCGTTCTTGGTGCCGTTGGGGGTCGTCCTGCTCTTGCCGCCCCCCAGGAGCTCGGCTCCCCTCTCCATCATGCCCGGCATGACGGCAACCAGGGCGAGGGGGCGGCGGACGGTGGCAGCGGCTGCCGAACGGGGGGGAAAGTTAATATGGAGCCGCCATGTTGGTGCCCCTTTCCCCCGCCCCCCCGCGGCTCTGGCCGCCGCGGCGCCGACACCTCCTCCCTTCTCCCCCCACCCCTCTTCTGTTCCCCTCCTCCGCCCACGGGTCGGGGATCCCTCCGCGCCGGCCCAGCCGGATCTAGTCTCGCACGCTGAACGGACGGTGCGGGCCCGAGCGGTTGTGTGTGGTTCTCGCTTGTGCCGCGCCTTGTCTGGCTTAGGCCGGTCTTTCGCTGTCGGCGGGAGCGCGCGCGGTCGTCGCGGGTCGAAGGGGGACTATTGCATCGCTGGTGGCGGCGGAAGGATGACTGAGAATTATACGTAGAGTGTGATTACCAGAGGCTTCTTTTGCCTAAGTCAGGCCACTTTTTTGGGGGGGTGGGGGAGGAAAAGGAGGATGGGAGAGAGTTTAGGTTCCCCTCTGCTAAGCAATGGTGGCTGCGAGGAAGAAACTGAGCGGCTTTTTCCAGGGATAACTCAAGTCTCAGTGTGTGTGCACGCCCGCCCATCGGTAATTTTTGCTGTATGTACACTTGGTGTGACGACGCGCATGGTGGTACTCCACGTTACATGCGAGGGGAGGTGGCGATAATTCCAAATACAACACGGAAGCCCCTTCCATGTAGGGTTATTCGGAATATAACAAGACTTTTCGGGCTTGCGCGTTCATCACCAGTGTGGAAAGCTTGTGTAAAATGGACATTACAATTCAAACTATTTTTTTCAATTAAAAAAAATTGTAAGCCGCCCTGCGTGCATAAAAGTCTAATAAAATAATAAATAAACTAGAAGTGACAGTTTTCATCTCCCTGGGGAGAGAGTTCTAGAGTTTTGGTGCCATGAGCAAGAGAGGGTCCTCTCCCAGGTTGCCACCTGTTTAACAGCTGATGGGAGGGGACTGAGACTGACCAAAAGCAGCAGGGTTTCCTTTCCTTCCTAGCTCCCTGCAGCAGTGGGGAAGCTCCGGAAGGAAAGGAAAGCTGCCTTGCTCCTTCTAGTCAGTTTCACTTCTCCCCTTTCAGCTGTTAAACCTAAGAGCTGATCAGCCAGAAGTGAAACTGACCAGAAGCTGCAGGGCGCTTCCCTTTCTTTCCTAAGCCTCACTGCTGCTGCAAAGATAGGCGCACTGAGGGTGACTGGCATCACCAGTTGGTGAGCAAGAGCTTGTGAGTAGTGGGGCTGTCCCCCCAAATTCTCCACCATGGCTACAGGCCTGAGTATGTAGAAGGGCATGGGAGCACACAGGCTCTTTAGGAGGTTAGAGAGGCCCAGACCACTTCCAGCTTTAGAGGCCTGATCCCATATGAAGCTGCTCAACCGTTACATTCATCTTCAGAGGCACTGCTTTGGGTGGCCCTGCTTCCTGAGATCAGGTGGGTGGCAAACTGGGAGAGGGCATTTTCGGTCATGGCACCAAAGCGCTAGAACTCTCCCCCCAGGGAGATTCATCTGTCCCCTTCTGTTGCCATTTTTCCCCAGCAAGTGAAGACTTTTTGTTTGTTTGGTTTGGCATTCTCTCAATGATCCCTCCTCCTTAACAAATGTTTTATGTTTTGTATGTATTTTAACTGTTTTATATGTATTTTAACTCTCTGTCTCTGATCATCTTCTTATTCTTTGCTTCAAAAGGCCATTTTCCAAGTCCTTCTGCCTTTACTTCGGCTTTCTGTCTCTAAAATCGTATACCACTCTGGCAGGTCCTGCACCCTTTTCTGCCACAGAATCCTCTTCCGTTCCCGAGGTAGCAAAGTCACTTGACTTCGATTCTCCCTCTTTAGACTCATCATCTGTCCCCCAGCTGATGTTTCAAAAATTCTTTAACTTTAAAACTGGAGTCTATCTTCTCCCTTCTATCGTTGATCTTAAAGATGACACCTTCCAGAACCGCCCATCTGTACGATATTCCATTAGTTTGAAGAAAAGAAATTAATTCCTTGTAATTTTTCCTCTTTTGTCTAATTTCAAATGGAATGTCCTTTAGTTTTAATGGTTACATTTCCCATTTTCAGTGGAGTTGCTGATGTTGCTTTTAAAATGGCATCTCTAGTTTGTCTTGAAAACTTGACCACTATTTCTCCAGGTAGGCTATTTTTTAATATAGTTGGAGTAAGCCCTATAGGCTGTCTCCATTTCGTTTACCAGTTCATCCACTGTTAAGCCTACTACTGGAGCGATGATCTCACTGAGCACCCTCTTCAAGTCTTCCCGATCCGTTTCAGGAACCCCCTGAAACCTGAGAATCATGTTAGCTTTTTCCATCTGAAGCTGCAAGACTCGATTCTCTTGGCAATTCTGCTTCATTTCCATCTCTCCCATCCTTTTCTTCAACTTCTTACTTGTGGTGTCAATATCTTTAATTTTCTCGTTTGCCTGCTCCACTTTTTTCTCCGTCTCGTTCAGCTGAAGCTGCTGTGCCGCAAAGTTTTTATTCATCACAGTCAATTGCTGGTTAATACCATCGAGTTGTAAGGGGAGCGGTGTCACAGTGGGTATATCCCACTGCCTTAACATCTGAACTGTATCAGTTCAAGCCCCGCGCTGGTGTGAGCAGCCAGCCTGTTGTCCCCAGCTCATCGTCCACCCAGCGATTCGAAAGCTCCGGCGAGTAGATAAA